TATTTGTCTTTGGTTTTTATTCTTTTGGTTAATAAGGAAAATGGGATAGAAGGGAGACCGTTTCCCCATCCAGAGGTTTGCAAAGATAAGTGTACTATCTAGGAGGTGATTCTAGTCTGTCTTACCTTGGTAGAAATAGCCGTCCCTTCTCTATCGCACCCTTACGGTTTGGGGAAAACGATCATATTAATCCTTACCACATCAAATTTTGCGTTAATTTTTTAAAAATATATTTCCTTTTATTTTGATGAAATCTGCCCCCCCCCAACCCCCCCCCCCCTTTTCGACTTCTCGATATCTAATTTTGTGCTCGTGTTATTCCGAAATTCACCAGGAGAACAGGACTTGTTTAGTATGCATGAATGGATTAGACATCCCCATCAGCAAGTTACGTTTCTCAACTAAAAAGGACAAGTTTGAATAAACTTATTTGCAAATGACACAATCGATGCATAGAATTACGTTAAAGTTAATCATTAATGAATAAATTAATACTGATAACGTTTTCTCAGCAGCAAAGAACAGCGAGAGGCACGCTGACGGAAAAGATAGAGGAAAAGATAGAAGACGAGTAAAAATATCGGGAAGCTCAATTTTAAGAAAAACTGTTCTAACGATTATGTCTGCTATATTGGTATAAGACTTCTATTAATTTAAACCAACATAACAGTAATATGTAAAATGATTAGAAAAAGCATCATACTCATCCTTCTATAGTTTTGAATTGGAGAGACTATTTCCTAATTAAGAAAAAAAAATCAAGAGAATAGCGACGTGTAATCGAAATCATCCAACAAACAAAGAAATGTTCAACTATGGCAACAAATTAACAAAAGAAATATTTACATGGAGACCATTAACATTACAATGAGAATAAGACCAGGTGTTCCGGTAAGGAAGTCGTCTTCTGCAATATAAACGACACCAGTCAAGTGAATCATTGATACTTCGATAGGTGACAACAAAACCACAAGGCACACTAATGAAATAATTAAAACATTGACCTTTATACCACACAAAAAAATATCATATTTCCCTCTGATTTCATGATGGCCATAAACCTTGTTTATAGTCTTTGTCAACCTGTATCTTTGGACACCCTGTGTTTTAAGTTTGTTTGTCAGCATTAGTCATCAATAGTTACGGGAGTTAAGTTATTCGACGCAAGCCGAATACCGATTCTTAGAGGATGCAGGAATGTTACTATCAAGCACGGGAAAGATAACGATTAGAAAATCGAAACCGTCCCGCTTATCGTACAGCTTGCTTAGAAGTATGCATTCCCTGGTGGTAGGAGGAATCATAACATAGAAAAAGATATTAAGAATGATAAGACATCTCAATTTAGCGAGAATCGGGCGAGCTAAAATAAACAATTTGTGACGAGCTTCATAAATTTCATATGAAATGAAAATGAGTATAAGATCCTGTTTATCACATACATGTAATCAAGATTTGTGTCATTTATTCGTGTAAAACAACAGTATTCATGCCACCTTGAAATGTAAGAAGCCGCCATTTTGACTCCAGTGTGTACGTCTGTGACGTCATGTACTTGTCGTAGGCGTGAAGTCACAATTGAAACATACAGCCAATCACAGGGCTGATAGGTCATATTACATGGGTTAATAAGCAAACAAATATGAAATGGGTAAATTCACTGGATAACGCAGAACATCATGTGATAAAAAATAAAACACTCTTGAGTTGTATATCAGTTATAATATCCTACTCAATCCTTATAATGTTATATATGCACATGTTTGTTCCACCTTCTTTTTGTAAATATAGTTGTGCGAATATTAATGATTTAAAATTGAACTGAAATTATAATATATATTTGTCTTTATTATACTTTCGAGATAAATTTTGCCCTATATAAACATCAATACAAGTATGCTTATTTACTTTGGCGTTTCAAATTCTGTAATATAGGTGTCAAAGAGTCATTGAATATTGACATGCTGCAAGGTGAAACAGACTAGTAATGACATTGGACTTCCGGTGATGTTTTTATTCTTCCTACAGGTATAGCTCATCCGTGTACCAGGTCGCATTTAGTCTCGTGGTGATCGTTATTGTCTAAAGTGGTGCATGTTTGGCGCTCAAGGCGTCAATTAAACCAAAGTAGACTAAATAGTGCAAGATAGCTCTATGTTTTTGATAAACACTTATACAGAAATGGAAAGGAAATTCCGAAAGCTGACCTCTTTTGCTGCGTGATCTTGTTTACTTAGAGATTCATAATCAGTAATATAATTACCAAATGGCGTCCTTTAATATCGCCAAGTCAAGGTCTCACCACCGGAGAAACATCTTGACGGAGAGAACTTACTTCCCTTCGGTGCTTATAGCCATCATAACATTGTGTACCATACCACCACGAGAAGTTCGGAGAACTGGCGAGCGTCAGCATCAATATAGAAAATTAAGGTCAACCGTGACATCGACCTCATGAGGTGTTTAACCTTAATGGCTTGTGTCAAATGTCAATTTGGTTTTCAGTAGGGGCAAAGTTAAAATGTACATTGTACCATTTTGGGTATATATATATTTTTTAAAGTCTCATTCTCTTTGATGTCTAGGATCTAAATATTTGACGAATGTTAAATGTATATCACAATGGCGTCATAATAATAAAAAAACATTGACAACCAACACACAGAATTGTAACAGCAACGTTATTTTGTTTAAAATTATTAAACACGTTGAAAGTAAAAATAAATGTTTTCGAATGTTACATTTAATTTAATAACTTTTAATGTTCACCTGCTAAGTAATATTTACTCGTAAAATGTATTGTATTTCAAATATGATCTTCTGGTCGTTAATACTTCATTTTAATGTTAAGGGGTTGCATTTAAATGTTGGTAAAAGAAATCGTTGTTAATTTTGTATACCCATTTAAATTAACAACCTGTGGAACTTTTAAGTGCTTCAACGAGAGCTCATACACCTTAGGTCTATACAGCTTACAAATAAAAGCCCTTTCGGCATCAGTTCGAAGAAGAATGTGAGGGAGGAAATTGTGCGTTTTCATGAAAGACGTTTCGTTGTCTAGTCCTACCAGTGCCTTGGACGAACTATTGGAGTGATTCACGCCTGTCTTAAATAACACGCCACGACTCGGTGACTATGAGTCACGACACTGGCGCTTTTAAAGTACATATTTGTATGTATGTGATGATATTGGATATGTCACTGACCTAACACACAAAGTCATTAATGTCACATTACATGAGATTACGAAACCGCGTGAAGCTCTTAATTATCCCACATACCGCCTGTGTTAGTAATTCACACAATTCGAAACCAAGCCGGCCCAAATGTGTTATGTTCATGTCCACGTCAATAACTTGTCTTGTACAACATTAAAAGGGTAAGACCGCTGACAAAGCCTGATTTGTTATATAATCGTGTTTTTTTAAGAAGTTGAAAGGTCAATTGGACAAGGGAGGCAATCTATCAGATAATGGAGAATACTCTCCCTTGGCTAGTTCTTTAATGGTGTGTGTTCTACAANTATTATATTAGCGTGTCCGTCTTGAATGTTCGTTGCAAATGAAACATATCGGCTTAAAAAAAATCTGGGGAGAACCCTGAAAATACACATTTCTTTCCTTCTTTTTTCATTTTTATTTTATCTTATCTTTATTATGAGGTGTAGGATACGCAAGCACATTATCGTACATGTACATTTTGGTATCCAAGGGTTTGGAATCGGAAGTTCCATCCCAGTTGCCATATCGGCCCTCCCAGAAGTGTGCGTTTCAGACCCTGTACTACTATTATTCTTAAATTATGCTATATTAATATAGAAATCATATCTAAAAGAAACATGCATTACCTTTTTTTATTTATTTGTTTCAGAAAAGTGATTTGCAATTACAATTTAATAAACCCGAAAAAAGGGGAAAATGTGCTTCTTGTTGACGTTTAGGTTTTAAAACCACAAGCGTAGGAAATAATTAGCTCGCACGCGACTCATGAGGTGATCCGTGAGATACGGTTTAGGGAATTTTCAATTTATAGGAACATCAATGAGTTCCCAGAACAATAATCGGTTTCTGATTTTGGTTTACATTTCTTGCCACATTGTTTTGACTTCTCTGGTCGACATGCAGCTAGTAAACATGTTTTCGTCTTAGTTTCAATATCGAGATCATGTTTCATGAAAGCTGAATTTATTAGTTTTGTATTTAAATTTGAAGAACTCAGAAGATCTTTGATCAATTTTGAACATCCTTGAACAAATCTGAAAACTATTCTCTGTCAGAGAACTTATTTCTTCCACTGTAAGTACTGTATCACCATACCACAAACTAATATCAAAGACTTCCTGTGTTCCCTTCTTATATGAGATATTTATTTTTCGACAAAAAAAAAAAAAAAAAAAAAATAGCAAACAGCGATCTAAATATAGAGCTATGAACTATTTTGGAGCATATTTTTGTGAAAAACATAACAAGATCAAGATAAATATGCGGAAGATGTAATCGGGAGAATAATAATAGTTCTGTGTTGACAATGCCTTTACTTATTTCGGCGGCAAGATTTTTCAGCAATCTATGCATTCAAAAGGAACAGATTGTCATTATATTGGCCGATTTTTTGTTGTTTTCAAATGAGGCTATGTTCAAAGATGAGCTTTTCAGGACGTGTCACAAAGACTATGCCAAGTCCTTCAATTTTGATTCAAAGATACAGATGGTACGCTGTTTTTAATAAACAAGACAGTTATTGCCGACGTCGATTGCATGTATCCACCTGAACTTAAAGTAAAGAATCCTACACACTCCTCTATCAGCCACTTACCTCAATCTTTTCTAACAATTCTACGTTCACAGTCAGCTGACTACGAAGAGGTTTTTTCTTCACATTTTGGTATTTCTGTGTTGTTTGTCTTAAGAGATGCTAAGCAGTGTTATTATATTATTATATATATGTGTTATGTAATATGTCTTAATAGTATTGTTATTCTGTATATTTTTCAATTTCAGTTCTCGCGAGAGGTTGTCAGAAATGATGAAGAGTAACCTTATTCAATATGGTATAATATCATTGGTGGTTCTCGACAGTGTCATCGTCATCCTCGAGTTCCTCATCGACCTTGAAATGATACATAGTAAGAGTTCTTGTTCTGAAAATGATGTGTACCGTGTACCCGCATGGACAATGATACCCCAGTTGTGTCATGCGATGTGTAAAAATGCCGAAAAGAAAGCAATTATTCAATTCACGATTGAAGAAAACACAAAATCTTCATTATTCCATTATAAATCCTTTTTGCACGAAAATCTCATTAATCGCGTACTAAGTACCAATAACTTGCACCTTATATGATGAACTACTGTTATTTGTATATATTTCTTATTTTGTTGAATGTCGTGTTGTTTTTCCCGGTTGGTAATGGATTGAATACGTGGTTGCTTGTATGTTTGACAATATTCTTGCACGGCCTTTTTCTATGTTCTGTCCCGGCATTACATAATTTTTATATGTACTGAACTTTACCGTGCAAGAGTAGGTCGATTTATGTCTCTATCCTTAAAATACTTTAACTTACAATCACCAAATTTGCTTCTTCTTCTTCTTGGTATAATAGTTGGCATATAGTTGTATATAGAAACCGGATGGGAAAACTTATGTTAAGTGAAAGAAGGAAAAAACATAAATTGACACAATTTTTAAAATGTTTCATCGTCTCACTCCTAATTATCTTTCCAAGCTTGTACCTCCTAGCATGTCTGAAAAAGTGCATAAAAAACTGAGTCTGGTATACAAATTGTACAGAGATATACTTGTTGCCACTGATGTTCTCGAGTTCTGCAAATTTGCACTGATAGGATTCCATACTGCTTCAGGAAAACATATTTACATGTCTTCAGTGACAGTAATTGTTTTAGGGAAGTAGATTTATATCTATTTTTTGTAATGGTTATGTTGTATGCGTAATGCCTTGTAAAATCAATGGCATTTATTCATTTTTATTATGGATAGCGCAGTAATGGTAGCTTTTGCTGACAAAACTAAATGCGTTGGCGATTCAAAACAGAAGGTCAATGTTATCACAACATTGGCGATGCAACGTGATTTTGTCGCTCAAATGTTTCCTGGTAGAGGATTGCAGGCCTGTTCGTGAGGTCATCTACATAGAAATAATATTATGATCGACAACATGAAATAGTATTTACAACGTAAAATTGCTGTTTTTCATTATATCTGTAAATTCTTCATTTTCGGAAATTCCTCGAAATCAATTTATCTTAGTGGTGTTCCTGGAACGCAATGGCATAAAGCAGAATATATACCCTATTATGTGGTTGAATGAAACATCTGTTTAAAAACAGACAAATCAGAATCCTCATTTTTATTTAATTGTATAACAAACGTGTAAAGTGTCCTATTTCATCTTAAGAAAATGACTAAGGCACGTAATAACTCGACTCAATATCGCGTGCATCTCATAAAGAAAATGCCCCTTTTATACTTCACATGAGTAAGGAATTACGTGTGTTTGTATAATCTTAATAGATTTTCCGTTCCTTTTGGATCAGTTTTCCCTTCGACTCATTGTAAGGCCGCAATTAAAGTAAGCTGAGAATAAACTATCGGTGTGGTATTCTGGTTTCTTACCTCATCAGTAAAATCTCCTTTTGTCATCCGATGATGCATGGTATGCGATATACTATATCAATAATGGTCATCAGGCAGATCATGTCCTACGTGTAACATAGGTAGCCCCAGTGAAAGACCGGGCAACGATTTATGCTAAATATATTCTTGGTTGTCAAGGAACTATGGAACATGTCAGACCTAACACTCTCGTCACCAAGGAACTATAGAACAGGTCAGACCTAACACTCTCCTCACCAAGGAACTATAGAACAGGTCAGACCTAACACTCTCGTCACTATATTTTGTTTCTATTTTAACACAGACAAAAATCAGTTTGTGAAATGAAAGTGCTTGACAGAGATTCGGTTTGAGGTAGTAAATCACATATGCTATAATGGTATCCTATTACATGTATAATATAATACGTTATATTGTTTGATCTTTGATTTGTATACCAAAATAAGAATGATGAATATCAATTACAAGCATAATTATGATCCGATTAAAATCATATATTTCTTTTCTTATTTTCATCGGCTTAACTTCGTGCAAGTTCGTGGAAAGAAAAAGCCTGCTTTACGCCAATTCATGGCATACATGTAACAGCAGACTAATGTGGGGCCAACCTGCAGAATCGGGGATTTTTTCGGTGTGGTCTGCTTAGACAATGAAGCGACCAAAGTTGATCTGCTGTACCATTGCAATACCTTGGATCTCCTTCTTTCGTGGGCGGTTCTTAGAGCACCTGTCTTCGTTTGGCCTTTACTGTTGCAAGGACGTTAAACCCAAAACAAACAGACATATCGATTGACAATGTATGACCAATTTGTACCGATCTTACCAATTTATTAGTTCATTAATCATTTTATCAGACATTCTAAACCGGCATATAAATTATTTAGACATGCTACAATGTAAGTTCATATATTCGCTACACAGTGTCTTAAATATTATACAATTACATCGTATTCATTTTAGTATTGTAGTTAATATATATATATATATATGTCCTTTTTTGCAGTTCCCGAGAACGATGTCAGTAGCTCGCACACTTCCATGCTAAACAGCAGTCTGAATCACACCGTGGGACAGTATACAGAACTGATGACCACGTCTCACCCTATAGGAGCGGACCACTCTGTTACTCATCTGGAATCAGACCATAGGTCTCACGGAGCGGTAGTTAGTCAGGACAACCATGTAGAAACAGAACATAATGTGACGTATATCAGTCATAATCATACGTCATCAGCGCACGCTCATCACCATACCAACAAGGAACTTGCTGAACACATCCTTCATTATGCTAGTCTTACGATACTCTCAATATTTGTCGTCGAGGTACGTATCTGGCATATATTGAAAATTAACTTCTCATTTTACATATAAAACTATCTTTATACTTACCAATCGTATGCAATTTAACACGAAAGCCATTATTTCTAACATATTGCAAAACGTCACTCTTCTTGTCCGAATCTGAAAATTAAAAATTTTGTCCATCCAACAATTTAGAACGTACCATATTTTTCAATTTTTTTTTTATCATGGGGGATTATTACGATTGTATGATAAATTTATGAAAACTATCTGTACCACCAACCCAATAAGTAGAAATATTTAAGTAAGCCGTAATACTTTTTCAGAGTGCAATATTTTCTTTTAGCTTCCAACTTTATTACAGCTGGTAAATTCTTCAGAATCTTAAAGGACTTCAGAATAGAAGGATAATTAAAATAGAGAAGTTATTTGTGATAGAAGGCTGAGATTATGGTCAGCTCAAAGTTCATCATTACTTTAATCCCTATATACACGTATAATGGTGGCATTCTGTATCATTGAAAGATGTGTAAGTTATTCCGAATCGTTTTTATAAAGATGTGAATACAAAGGGGCATAACGGTTACATAGTTTTTGGTAGTATAGTGTTTATGTAGTGTCTCAATTTAACCTTGAATCGGAAGGACATTAACAATATACATCAATAAATGTGTAGGGGTGCATTTCAAACCAAATCATATTAGCAAATAATTCAGGCAATCAGTTAAAAATACAACGTATACAATAAAATGTTAACATAGTTTTATTATCTATCAATATTAATATATAAATATTCCGATTCTCGCTATGAGGATGTGACCGTACTTGAATTCAACCTAGAGTTGGTAGCGGATATAGTAGAAGGGGAAATAAATACTGCATTTAAGTAATCTGCATGATAATAGACGTATGCATCATGTCCTAACCCCTAGATAATTGGAAAAGATTTTTGAGTGTACCTCGTATTGTGCAGTAAAATGTGTACCCTTCCAACTTAGCTAGTTTCAAATGCAGATTTTTGCAATTATGACCTTGTGTTTACGATCATTCCGTTTCATATTATCGGATCAAAATTCAGTTTCGATTTTATTCATAAGTGTTTACGCTGTGGTATTGTGTTAACTTCCATTTTCTTCCTGCAGGTGGTAGCCAAAATATATGCTGAGGGAACACATCTACTAAAGCATAAGGCAGAGGTAGGAAAGCTGAACTTACGAGGATATACTTTCCATTTGTTCCTTGCATCAGTCACATTATTCTCAATATTGCTAATGAATGCTGTAGGTTTGTCGTGAAATATATCTGATTTAAACCATTTTGCAACTACACATAACTTACATTTGATCTAGAATTTCATCAACATGATTGAGAGCCCATTAAGGCACGGACGTCTAGTGGTAGGACGCCGGGCTCGTGACCGAAGGGTTGTGGGTTTGAGTCACGTCACGGCACCGTGTTGTATCTTTCGCCAAGATACGTTACTCCGCTTGTTCCAGTCTACTCAGCTGTAAATGAGTACAGGGTTGGGCAGTGCTAGAATTGCTGAATGCTAGCCTTGAGCGCCGAAATGGCAGCACCGGCTGTATGTCTCCCAGGGAATTGAGAACGATATTGGCTGGTTGCGAAGGCCCTATCACCACAGCTTATAAATTGCTTAGTAAACTGCTTTAAGACGACCTACGAACTAGGTTGTGATAAAGCGGTATATACGAACTTCGAATTATTATTACTATTATTATTAAGTTAATTGTGGTTTTTGTTTTGCAGGTGTTTGACGCCATAGTTGTTTTGGTTTCCTTCACTTTGGATATTATATTCATATTTGTAAACGTTACTGATGCAGCAAAGGATGCTGCTGGCCTCATGGTAATACTGCGGCTGTGGAGAATCACCAGGATCATCAATGGTAATCTACTCTAAATAATCATCAGATATACAATACAATTTCGTTGTACTGCCACTATTTGTCCAGAACAAAATGAAAGTGGTTGGCAATAAATTGAGGGACACATATCATGAAATTCTTAAGAAAAGAGAAAAAGGGACCGTGGAAAATAAAGGAAATACGCGAGATGGCAAACCAAACGAATGGCATTATATCGAAGTTTTACTAAAACAATTATTTTAAAAAGGAAGATACGCTGAGATAATAGGAGTTACCGTATTCACACACGTTAATGCATATAATATATATAGGATTTATCCACTAACTACTTTAGCATTCTTCACCCCTGACGATTTGGAAAATCTGTTTGGAGCTGGATTTTTTTTCTTTTTGATTAACCACTTATGGATAACAACCTGGAAATGTCATCGTTAGTCAATCTTTGAATTGTGACGTCACCTAAGAAAGCTTTGCGCCATCATCTTCAATTTTGATTTGTGATTGATTGCATCAGTTTTCCCGTTTAGAGACAGAAATCATGCATTTACAAGGAACACATATTTTACGATATAATGTGAACGTTATGGAGGAAAAGTCCCAAAATTGATCTATTTTCATGTTTATCTATCTTTCGATAGTTATAAATTGTAAAATACGCTCAGTTAACCTCGTTTAACATTGTTATTGGGTCGAGTTAGATACGCACTGAAACAACCCACCGATAGTTGGGGAACCGCCATGTTCTGCATCTACTTCGAATCACCCGTATCATCACGAACAAAAAGTATTAAGTTTTTTTACAATATTTTTCATTGCAACGAAAGTAGTCAGTGTTTAAATTCAACATTATGTCGCTCATTAAGACATCTTAATTCATTGAATATTAAAAAAAAATTTGTGTGTGCCACTTTTCCTCAAAATGCAATTGAAATAAATATTTATTGGAAGAACTTACATTATTATCAGAAATATAAGGCACATTTGTCTCGGACAAAGATAATGTCTTTAAACTGGTCGTGCCTAAGTAGTGTTCTAGATACCCTAGTTCGAAAAGAAATACGTGTTGTAATATGTTTTATCAATCGTTCATGCTCCTGTGATATCATTTTAATTTATTAAAAATAAAACGGATGTTTAACACATAAATCTAGTTAGGAGAACCTACACATATGTCATCCTTTTTGTCGTTTATCGCTAGTAAGCATATCCCTGACTATACGTAATAACTTAGAACAAATATTTTGGATATATCTAAAAGTGTATAATGTCTATTGTCATTGCCAATATGTAGATACCATCCCTGCCCGGAAAAGATATACAAATTATGTTACAATAGATATACAATCGAAACATTTTGTAACAGCATAACTCGTGGTTGGTCAGAAGGTACAATGAGTATGCAGTCGGGTGGCGTAGTACGTAGCGCACTCGTCTTTCATTTAGACAGCCATGGTTTCATTCCCCAGTAGGACGTAAAAAGGTGCCGTGCAGCCTGTCCGACAACGTAGTTTTTCTCCGGGGACTCTGTGTTCTTCCCACATTAAGACCCCATACCTCTATCGAACAGGCCAACACGAGTGATTGATATGATTTTAAACAACTTATTTCACGATTGTTGTGACAAATATCAAGTTTAATTTGTCACTCGTGATTCAACAGTAAAACGGTTGTTTAATTGTTATTGATGTTTTATTTTTATTTTAAGGAGTAATAATTTCGGTCAAAATGGACGCAGATAAGAAAATTGAAGAACAGAAAGTAGCACGTAGCAGAGCAGAAGAGGAAGTAGAAAAACTCAAAAACCAAGTTTCTTCCTTAGAGGTAAACAAATAATTTATCATTTGAAACTGGAAACGCAACAACTTAATACGTGATGAATGTAAATGATGTATGTCTGTTCATGTCTTTCAAATCCCCATTTTGGGCACGTCCTTGAACGACCCTAGCTGTTGATAGGACGTCAAACCCTATGCAACAACCCATTGCGGACTGACAATGCAAAGCAAACTACGAACGACTATTTCTAAAACATAAATCCTTCACCGAGACGCCACTTGGTAAAGGTTTATCACGGCTATATTTGTCGATCAACAACAATTGTGTTGGTTATCAATCAGTTGGATATAAAACGCCCCAAGCGTTATGTGTATTTGCAGTAATGATGCGTCCACCTTCATCTTAGAGGATGAGTATTGGTGTAAGAAATAAGGATATGGAAAGCCTGCCGAAAGGTTATTACATGTACCTGTACATTGTAACTTACATTTTAACATAAATATGGACGCTCCGAATATGACCGCTGATTATATGTTGAGTTTTGCCGGTACCAGGAATATCATTATATTTCTTATACCACTGTAAAGCTGAACATGCTAAGAAACAATCTTCGACTACAGAAGAAATATACTGTTTAATTTTACATGAATTAAGTCTTTTTGAAATTCCAATAACAGATAATAAACCAAATTTTGTATAACAGAAAAAATGAATAAAAAGCATCATGACATAGTTGGCACCAGAGTTAATCATTATACGTATTTTAATATTTCCCTAACCAGATATCTGAGAAAATGTAGTATTCTTCTAAATCTACATATGATTAACCATATTACAAAAGGTTTATTGATATCTTACCTCATCAGAATTGCCAATAGAGTTTGATAAGCAGTTGTGACTCCCGAGTTTTAAAGGACACGTCTGCTTAACTTATGTTTTTACTTTCCAAAATTTCAGGGACAATCTATTAGCTTCTGGAAGGTTTAATGACAAGGGTAGTCCTGGTCATGTACTGTAGCTTACACGTACAAATTCGGGGAGTCAAATCAAATGAAATCGCAATTGTAATTTAAAAACAGACGAATTTGTCTATTCTTAAAATATCATTGACAAAAACGTCAAAAAAGAGCGTAAAACGTGATAACCCAATGATTTTATTCAAGGGAAATAACTCTTACACAAATTTCAACTAAAATTGTCAAAGGAGAATTTCATTTATTCTTATTTTTCTATGTTATTAGGCAGAACTTGAAAGGCTACAAGAACACCTGAGACTGATAGAAGAAGGTAAAGCTTGTCCGGATTTAGATGAAAGTGTAAAGGAGTAGCAGACATTTATCAAATAGATAAATCAGCTTGTATTGCAATGTATTGAGGAATAGCATATCAAGTTCCAGTGAGGATTCGAAATTCGCGTGTTTTTATGGAGATTATATTTTGACGTACGTACATATGTACTAAGAACATAGAATTTCAGCGAGGGAAAAATCTTATTGGAGATTTTAGGTTGTATCAATTAAGATATGAAGCTTCATAAATGAGTATTACGAAATACAAAAGCCAAGGACAGGAATGCGGAAAAAAACCCAAATGAGCATAGTAAAGTCTTGGTTGTGTTGGTCTATATTCAGTGATTTTAAACGTGATCTTACTTTTATTGAAGAGCATATAACATAACGGTTTTGTGAGTTCAACTTAGTCCTGTAGTATATGTAGTTATGTAAAATGTGAAGTAGGAAATTGGCAAGAACACATCATATGAATATTACGGCTGTTTCTACCTTCGTACACACATTGGTCTATCTAAAAATACTATATTTTCTATATTAATCTCCGTAAATTACTAGGTGGATGCATGCTCGGTATAACATATGCTCTTACAAAACTGGTATATGCTATACATTTGATCTTATCTAGCATTATTGATAATTCGAACTTTCTGTTTATTCTCCAACTCCTTCTCTTAAATAGTAATGATGTACATCAAAATCTAGGACCTGATGATCTCCACAAAGACTATTCTATTTTCCACCTTAATATTCGCAGTCTTAGAAATAAGTTATCTTACCCAGAACAGGTAGCGTCGGACTTTGATGTTGTCTGTATTACGGAGACCCATCTTGAAATAGCCATAGCAGACGATGACGTACTCCTAGATGGTTATGATATGTACCGGAAAGTCCGTGAAACACCGGGTGGGGGGATAAATGTTTACACTTCCAGCCTCATATGCACACGTCGTCGAACTGACCTGGAATTCCAGGTAGGTGAAGTTATATGGGTAGAGATCCAGTTTCCAATCAAGAAATTTCTTTTATGCACAGTATATAGACCTCCCAACTGTGTACAACCTTTCTGGGATTTTTTCTGACTTTCTGCAGAAACAGTCATGAATGAGACACCGTTTGTTGTTATAGTTGGTGATATTGATGTTGACCTTCTTACAGTAGATAATAATCACTCACTCGTTGAAATAATGAACTTTTTCCACCTGACGAACGTTATCGACAGACCGACCCGAATTGGACGCACGCGCTGCACACTTCTTGACCCCATTCTTCTATCAGACACTTGTACTTTTACAATAGCCGACATAATAGAGATAGACCGTGAAATTTCGGACCAGGAAGCGACATCTGTAGAACTAAATATAGGGACTAAAATTGTTAGAAATTATAAAGACGCAGATAACGAACGTTTTAACAGCTGGACTGATCTATTTTTGAGAATCCATTTCCCGGACGACATGTGTGACACCTTTACATCTAGATATTTTGAAATAGCTGATGAGTGTATTCGTTTCAAACGTGGTCACAATCAGACCTAATGACAAACCTTGGTTTAACTCTGACATGAGACGTGAAATTAGGAAAAGAGACTTCTCCATAAATATAAATCCAATCGCACCCAACATAATCTGAACAACTTTATGAAACAGCGAAATAGCGTTAACAATCTTAAAAAAAGGACTTTTATTTTTATTTTACGCGGACATTAACGGTCTTTAGACAATTTCAGTGATACAAATCCCAGAAAGTTTTGGAAACAGAAATGGATGATGACATAAAGACTAACATACTTAATGACTACTTTGCTTCTATTTCTACTATCGATGATAGTGACACTGACGTACCTGTTATAGAATCCAGAACAGACTCGAAAATCTCAGACATACCCTTAAATATAAAAAACATTATTGACATACTCAAAACTTTAAAAATTGGTAAAGCTGTAGGAAATGATACAATTAGTCATAATATGTTAAAGAACACCGCTAATACAGATGCTTATCCGCTATCTTTAATCTTTCGTTCTTCTTTGGAGACTGGATCTTTCCCCAGACAATGGAAGCTTGCTGTAGTGATGCCAATTTTTAAAAAGGGAGATAAACAAGACCCCTCAAATTATAGACCTATTGCATTGCTAAGTACTATTGGTAAGGTTTTTGAAAGATTAGTTGCTAAACATTTACATAACTACCTTTTAGAGAATTCTCTTACATATAAGTATCAGTCAGGTTTTCAACCAGGTCATTCTACAGTACACCAGCTTATAGAAATATACAACTTGTGCGACAATCTTAAAAAAAAGCAACCCACCTGATTAGTCTTTTGTGATATTTCTAAGGCATTCGATCGAGTTTGGCTTAGGGGGCTGGGGTGAAAATAGCTAGTTATGGAATATCGGGTAAGTTATTGGAATTGTTAATTGATAATATTACAAATAGATCTCAACAAGTATGTTTTGGAAAGAGTAAATCCTCTGTTAAGACAACTAATGCAGGAGTACCTCAGTGTTCAGTCTTAGGTCCGTTGTTGTTCATAATTTATATTAATGATATAACAGATAACTTAGAAAGCTTATCAAAACTTTTTGCAGATGATACTTCTCTATTATGCTCAGATAAATCCCCACAAATATTAGAACGAAAAATTAATAATGATCTAAGAAATATTCAATTGTGGCCTGATAAATTGTTAGTTAGATTTAATCCTGCAAAAACAGAGGCTTCATTTATTTCTAATATAGAACTAGATAACCTGATTGAAATAGAGTTTAATAGTATCAGTATAGACTTTGCTGATAACCATTAACATCTGGGAGTATTAATCGATGCTAACTGTAAGTGGAGCTATCATATTGATAATATTTGTAAAAAAGTAGCCAAGCAATTAGGTGTTCTCCGTAAATTGAAACATACTCTAAACCGACGTACATTAAATCAGATATATAGATCGTTTATACTTTCTATTTTAGAATATTGCTGTGGAGTTTGGGATGGTTGTACTCCTATTGATACAGATAAGTTAGTAAAGTTACAATTAGAAGCAGGACGTATTGTCACCGGTTTACCTTCTTATGCTAGTAGACAATCTATATATACTGAAACGGGATGGGAATCCCTAGCCCACCGTAAGACACCGTTCTAGCACATTGAAAAACGATCTATTTCGAGTTAACCTGGTTGATGACCAACGTTGTATGTGTGGCTACTCTATTGAAGACACCTTCCATTTCTGTTTTAACTGTGATAATTATGTTGAACAGTGAATTAAACTTTATCGTGCACTGAATGAAAACATCCCCCTTACATTGAATCTACTTCTTTTCGGAGATATAACAATTTCGGAACAAGAAAACAAAATTATATTCATGCATACTCAGCAATATATACAAGAATCGAACAGATTTAATACCCCCACCCCTCAAAATCGACATCTTTATTAATACACGTATCTTGATAATGCTAATAGATTGACAACTCGAGTTGCAACATACAAATATACGTGTATATAAATATAATGAAGCCGTGTGTTTGGTCTTTCTCTGTGCGGACGGACTAGTTGAAACGGAAATACCAGCAAGAGCGGAGTGAACAGGAGGAAGTTAAAATAGCACGGGAGGTGATGAACATTTGATCAGAAGAAAGTTGTGAACAGCGAATAGTATAATCAGTCCGTTCGCATGGAGAAAAACCAACCAGGTGGTCTGAAATATATTTTCCTAAATTTACTGTCTTGTTGCAGTACTTATCCAGTAATCTTAAAAAATCGGACTCTCTAACCCCCTCTTCCCTCTCTCCTCCTCCTCTCCCCCTATCTCTTCCTCTTCCTTTATCTACATGTGCATGTTTATATTTGTGAGCATGCGTGTGGTTGGTCGTGTGAATGTGTGGATGTATGTATGTCAACTTATTAATTCATTTATCATACATAGCTTATTTACGTAGTTCTGCCATCATAATATTTTGTTAAAAAAATATTATTGTACAGGGAAAGGGCTTGATATAAGTTGTAAAACTTGTGCCCAATTCCATTGCTATGTAAAAAAACAACCAATAAAATATGTTTAAATAAAAAAAGGATATGAATCGGGACAATATATGAGATGCAATATGAGATAAACTGAACTTCATAATGATAAAATGTATTAACATGACCGCTTTAGCGTATCCTGCTCAACCGTTTCAACGGCTGGCATACATTTGAATTGGGCCTACTTCTGGAAAATTAGGCATATGCACTATCGAATGGTTCATTCCTGGCCAGAACCAAAATGCTGAATATATCGTTAGTTGTGCATTCTTTCTACATGAGACCAGTTCTATTCTCATATATATTTTAGGATATGTTATTAAATTTACAACAATGCTCAAAAACTGTGCATTTTTACATGTAGCTCTAACAATTAAGGCGGCCTGCGTCCGGTCCAGGTGCATTCGTTTATCGCAGAATATTTATTCGCAACCCGCAACTCTTAAACTGGGATACATAAAGAAACGTAGGGGGATTGGTCATGCATATTAAAGATATGTCTTGGTTTAAAACATGAGTTTATGGGAAACAGAATGAGCTAACAAGTTTATTATAAACTAGTGTATTCTGAAAAGAGTTTATCAATACAACAACATTTTTTGTCATTCGGAAGACCTTCTTAAGGACAAAACTTGGAAGATATTAAACATCTGCTGATATGTTTGATTTGGTTTAAATTGTTTTGGATCAAATGCCAAGCTTCATCCGGTAGGTAAACTGTACACTGATTGGTTAGAAACAGTGTGAACCTTACACGTATTCATTCTAACTACATGTTTTGTGTTGTATTTGCGATTTCTTTTGCACTTGTTTTTATACTCGCAATAAATTGTATCGGAGTGAAATGTCTACTGAAAATAATCGAAAGAAAATTATTTATTTATCTATTTATATACCACAAAAATTGATATAATCCTTTTTTCCTATTAAAGTAATAGAATGTAGATATAGTAACGTAAAATAATATAAAGATGAAAAGAAAAATCTTAGTTTAAAGCCAAACCTAAAATGTCTCGAGATTCGGGGAATGCTTGTAAAAAATGTCTCTCCGAGATGATGCTGTTTGAAAATAGTCAATGCAATAGTTATGCAAATGATTAATCTTGTTTGTAGTTTTTATATAATTGTAAATGGACTGTGAATTTCAATAATACTGATAATG